TATCTCAGACCTTAATTTTGCTAGCGATGAACCCATATATGATAACTGATGCTAATGCTTATTATTGATTAATCTTATTTTAATCTAACATTTAAAAAACAAATCCTTACTAGAAATTTAGTCATATTAGTCATATTTTAAGTTGAAACCCTTTTATAACAATTTATTGATGTTGTTAGAGTTTGAACTTTCAACCTTTTTGAACGATTCTGCAGGGTTAATGCCAAAAAACTTTTTTACCTAGTTAGAATTAAAATAGAAAATGTTTGGAAATAACATTAATTGTGGAAATATAAATACTTTGAATTCATCAAGTTTTTTATTATTTAATAAAATTTTTTGTAATCAGAAGAATTCTGACAAGGCTGCTAATCCCTATATTATACGAATTTTCCTATTTTTATAATTTCGTTAAAACACATATCTATTTTATTATTATTCACCAAAAATGAGTTAAAGGGCTTTTCAACAAATTACATGCAAACATGCCATTATCTATTAAAGAATTAAAACTTCAATCAATTCATTTTTTCAAATTAGTAGCTAATTGAAGTTCTTGAAGAAATGAGGACTCAAAGAAAAGAACAAAAATTATTATTCCATTACAAAATATTAAGCCACCAAAATTGGAGCAGAGGTTGCGTCAAATTTTTTTAATAATTTATTAAATATGTGAAATAAACTATAAATTGTTTGTTTATTCACAAATAAAAAATCAAAATAACTCTATATTTTTGAAAATTTGCCGGAACCCTATAGTATTTATTATAGTATTATATATCAAATTTCAAAAAAATCTTCAATAATAAAATTTTATATGATATAATACATAGATTTGATTTAATTAGTTGACAGCACACCCCCTAATTATTATGCATATCAACATCATCATTATTTATAAATAAAATATAAATAGTTTGTTAAAAGTTACAAATGTTTTAACAACATTGTATATTGTGTGTAAATTATTTGATTAGAAATTTTTTTGAACACGTTCACTTAAAAATTACTGTTTCTAATAGTATAAAAAATAAATAAATAAATTAGGCGAAACCCAAAAATATAAATACGAAATACTCAAATCTTTAAAAAGTCCATTACATTTCCATAATAAAATGTTTGATTTTATAAGGATTAAGCGCTAATAATATTTTTATATCGAGTCTCTTGAAGTATATCCTTTTTATTAGCGAACATTTTTATAAATAAGTTCTTATTTAGATAATAATAAAAAATTTATATATTAATTATAAAAAAATTAAATAATATTAAATAATATTAAACAAATTTATCACAAAATATTTTGATAATTTATAAAAAATAATAAATACAAACCGTTATTATTCTAAGCTTATTTAAAGCATGTAAAAGAATATAAAATATCGAAACTATATTTCTGCGGGTGAGAGATTTTATTATTATTGATTTATATTCCCATCAGAATTTATTCTCGTTTTTATCTTCGGGAATTTGATTTCTTGAATGATTTTGCTTCAACCTATTTTCAGTACGAACTTTTGATTTATGGATAATGACGACTTACTATATATTAATCAATATGAAACCCTTAATAAACCAATTGAGGGTTTAGTTACAAGTTAAGTGTTATCCTCACTCGAAATATGATGAAAATATATATATTAATTACTTTGAATTGATCTTTAAATTAAAGTGTGAGGTCAATCTGTTGTCATTATTTGTGGAAAATCTATTCACTACGATAATATCGGTGGTAATGGTTTATTTTTTAAGAAAAGCACGTACAAAGTAGTATAACAAGCGAATTCTTAAAAATTTACAAAGAAAATTGGAAATAAACTTTTTTTTTTGTCGTGTTGAATTTATTTGCATTATAAGTCTCATTTATACTTAAGCTCCATATATGAATAAGATAAATATATCGCATCAACCAATCTCATTACGATTAAGTTGGTTGATACATGTTATTTGTTGATATAAAAATTCATCAACGAAAAAAGCCGATGCATGGGGTGCAAACTTGAAATTTGGATTCCGATTCTGAGGCAAACTTCATCCATCAGAAATTTCCAAAATTTAAAATTAAAAATTGGTTCCTGAAATATTAATAGTGACTATTTTTTTTTATGTACAATTAATCTTGCAAGCGCACAATTTAATCACTTGAATATTTTGATGGATTATTTACTAACGATATCCCTTGCACAATCATTTTTTGAGCTTTGATACAGTAATTTTGTTATTGAAATAATAACCCTAACTAGTATGTCAAATTATTAAGGGTAGCTAAATAAAGACAGATTCAATAAAATTATAAAACATGGTAATATTCATTCAATTATAAATTTTACACCATTACATTTTAATAGCAGTTCGTTCGTTTATGATGCTTGCAGTACAAAGCATTATTCACAAATGTGGCTTTCTCATTGGATAATTAGAAAATTTACTAATGCTAAATAAAATAACAATTATACAATTTAAAAATAAAATTACTTTCATTTAAATCTAGAGGATGGACCGGTCTAAAAATCTTTATCCGGTAATAACCGGTAAAAATATTCGTTAACTAGTTAATAAAATTCACTTAGGCCAGTACTATAAATTTTCCAGAATTAACAAAATAATTCTGGCCGAAAATTGAAGTTCGGCCAGAGTTATAATAAACTATTTTAACCAGTTAACATGTTAACCGTTTTAACGGTTAATTTACCGACCGGTTTCAACCTCTAATTTAATCTTTATTTACTACATTTATCTTTTGCGACTCACATAAGATTAGATTATTTAAACTATTCCAGTATTTGACTTAAAAGGATACCTTCAACAGTTGTAATATTATCCTTAAAAACATCAATGAAGTTTGAATTCTACAAAATTACCTGCAAATTAGCTTTATACAGAATATTTTAATTTAATAACTTACATAAATATGAATACATAATAAACAAACACGATTTCACAAAGCATAATCCAGATTAATAAATTCCCAAGCGTCACTTTTCTCACTTAAAAGCATTTCTTCGTACGACATCATATAAATTGATCATTTCAAAGGTTACTCTCCAAATTCTATTTGATATTATACAGAGTGACCTTTCAAATAAATGACCTATATTTATCATTACTTTTAGTTTCTACACGATTTCCGTTCTTATTTCTTCATCATGTTTTTATTTTGCTTGTCGAGCTTTTATTTTGTTCATCGAATTTTATGTTTTCAAGCTTTCTAAAACTATGTCCATTTTGAAGAAAGATACAGTAAAGCTACAAAAGCAGAAAAGATTTTAAATAAATTTATTCTTTTATGAATCATTTCAAGTGAAAATTAACTTAAAATATCAATCGAAATGATCGGCAACTTTGATAATATTTTGCTTGCATTTCAAAAAAAAAAGTTCCCTTATCGTAAGTTTGTTATATATCACATTGAGTAAAATCTATATTATTTTATAAACGGTTCGGCAAGATATTGAATAGATTTTACCTAAATCGAAAATCGAAAAAAAAAATATTACAAATCAATTAATTAATGGCGCAGTAAATACGGCTATAATTAAAAATAGGGAAGCAGTGAGACGTAATTCAAACCACCGCTGTCAAATCCTTATAATATTAATTAGATTGAGAAAATAATAGCGGAATGATCAAATATTAAATATCGGGAAACCAAAAAATAAATACCTAATATGTGATAGTAAAGGAAATTTTAAAGCAAAATACTAAAAAAAAAAAAAAAAAACGCAGCGCGTAATTCTGAAGCAATTAAAGCCGAAAAATTATTAATTTTAAAGAAATTGTTTTATAGCCGCGAAAAATTCCAAAGTAAAAAAAGATGAAGCTAAAAACGAAGCTAATCCCCGTACTACGAACCCGAGAAATAGTATAAAAAAAAAGATCTTAAATAAATATCAACATTGGGCCGGAAAATAGTTTTTATGAATTTCCAAAGCTGCTTGTAACAGTTTTTTGAAAATTCTTTTATAGAAAATTTTTAAACACGTGATTAATACAATACTGTACATGTTAATATAAAAAAAAATAGTGTAATAGCATTGTCATGCCTTAAAAATGTGCTAGAATTACCTGAATCTGAAAAAATTTTATCAAAAAATTGTAAAGTTTAATAAAAAACAAATATTTTTTAGTAAATAATTTTTTTTTTTATTATCCGTTTTCAAATTGTGATCAAAAATCGCCGAGCAATAAATGAAATTTTAATTATTATTTTTTTTTTTTGTCTCTAACATGTAAAATTCAAAGTTACGAGATATTACATGAACTTGCAAACATAATGATATGAGTGTTACGATTGAATGTAATTCCGGCCGAAATCTTCATAACACCGCATGTAAATCGTTTTTGATAATTACAGTTAGTATTTTTGACGATCATTTTCCATGCCATGCCAGGGCGCCAGGCCAGTATGACAAATGTTCAAGATGCCAGGCTGGCTTAATTGATTTCGAGCTGGGAATCATAAAACAGCTCAATATCTACGCTCGCCTTTAATATATTTCTTTGAAAACATTCCCTTTGCAATCCTCCTTTTTTCACCTTCACGATAATTTCGATTTTCGCCCTTTTAATTTTATAATTTCGCATTTGTAACATCGTTTATTATTTCTATTTCAATTTCCGATTTTTATTAGTATTTTATTATTCAATTTTTATGTAATAGTTCGTAATTTGCGTAGTTTAAATTAATTAGAATTTAGTATTTGGCATTTATAGAGTTTAAAATATTGATCAAGCGAAAGCGTAGAGTGCCGACGTTGAGGCAACGCTGATTAATTTGATATTATTAAATAAATATTATCACGATTACTTCATTTTTATTCAATATTTATTCATTAATACCTTCTGCTTACATCACAAAATTGTTTATAAATACATAACGAAAGAACTGAATACAATACAACACATGGTCCTTCTGCCAGAATCCCTAAAAATTCAGGAAGTTTATAAAGTATAAACAACTTCAAAAACTTATTTTTACAAACCAAAGCAATATTATCAAAATGGAAATATCATATAAAACTTCCGAAACTACCATTTTTTCGTTTTCAAATCTTGAAGACAAAGGTACCTTAGGTATTAAGAGTCAATATAACAAGACTAACGCGTATAATCAAAACGAAGAAAATTTTGATCGTTTAGGTATAATATATACATTTACCTTATAATTTGAATATTTGTATACTAATTAAAGGATAACTTATTTACCATGTTTTTAGAAGAATCGTTTCAAGACAGTGATGACAAAATGATCAGGTCATTTGGCGATTTTGAAATGACCTCTGATCATTTGTGGTCATTTGTCATTTGGTCATTTAAATGTAATACAGGCCAAATTTTATATGCTGACCAGAATTACAAATTTATATAACGTGACGTGAAAATATTTATGAAAACGTTGAAACCCTGGTCATTTGTCATTTAATATTGAAATAACCAAATGACATATGAACAGTAATTTAAGTCATTTGAGGTCATTTGGGTCACTTGCCATCACTGTTTCAAGATACATACAAAAGCGTATCTAGAGGTGATTATAGAGATACGACTGCGATTGTCGTAGATGAGAAATTTTCGCCTGATCTGGTATAAAATATTCTGGAAAACTTGGCTTTGATGAAAATGATGTAGCATCATAAAGTGAACCCATAGAAGTTCCTTTTGGGGTTTCTTCAACTCTCTATATAGCCCGCTTTGCCATTATCCACGGTTTACCGTTTCAGCATATTAATCTATACCCAGAACTTCAAGATATTTCGGAAACATTCCAAAATTTATACAAAATAAAATTCAATCAGTGAATCCCGAGAAAATCTTGGGTGGAAAAGTTCAAAGCACCATCCCAGCAAATATATTTATATACAAATATAAATTTAGATCTAATGAACAGAAACTCAACGTGATTAGTCAGATAAGAGACAAATTTGGTGATAGAAGATTTCTCTATCGTGGAATTAATTCTCAGAATATTAACGCAACACTTACATACGGGTTTATTGTAATATTTCGGTCTTCCTTAAGAAATGAATATGGGCCAGGCATATATACTACTCCAAATCTCGATTATGCCATTTCATATGCTGGAAGGAATGGTATGCTTTTAATCTTTGATTGTTCTAATCTCGATAGAAATCTTACGTCCAAGCATTTAAATGATCTAGAGGAATGGAAAGCAACAGTCAAGAGCCACATTTGTTTAGAGGATGATGATAAGCCAAGACCACCGTTTCATGAAGAAGATATTCTTGAAGTTTGATTTCCTATAACCATGATATTATCTGAGAGTGTCATGATCCAATTCCTTCGGAGGTTGAACAAGTTGTTGGCAGAACAGAATTAGCTTTTAAGGCTTTTGAAAATCGTTTATTTGCTATCATATATTTGGTTTTGAAAAATAATGAAGGTTAGAAGCAACACATAAATTTAATACAATGATTGGTGAAACATTAAATAATAGTTTAAAACAAACTGATGGCACTAGTTGATTATGATGGGTTTCTATTTTTTTATTTTAATTTCATTATGTAAACAACGAAGTATTATTTCTTATAAAAATTTCAACAAATACTATTAAATAAAGCGCTGGTACACTATTTTACTGTATTTTTAACGGTTTTCATTTAAAGGTTAACGTTAAATATAAATTTGGAATTAATTTCAAAGTTGTTGTTCACTCTTCTTCGTAACAAAAAATAAAATTGCAGGATTGATGCAATACCTTTTAAACAAAATTATAAACGAATTTAAAATTCTTATTTCTACTATAGGTACGTAATAAAGGAGATGAGTATGTCACGCTGCATAATACTTATGAATTGAACTTACCCGAAATATAATTGAGTGCTAATATAATTTTTTTTATATTTATATTCTACACTTTGAATAATTTAATTATTCCTCACTACTCCATTAATTTTACTCTGCTGTTGCGCACATCAACCTTACCTCATAACTTTCTTGAAGAATATCTAGATAATACACAAGTTTTTCGTGAAATTTTCTGATTTTGAAAAGAGTACCGAGCAAATTTCATCATATTGACAAGAATTAATACAATTTATAGATTATTAAAGTTTCTGATAAAGAAAGAAATAAGCAATATGATAAGATTAGATTAATGGTAAATAATGTAACATATATGTAGTAATGGGTGTCAGATTCAGTTTAATTTATCATACCAACCACACTACGGTAATGACTACGATATTCTTTATCCACATGGGATGGTTATGTCAAATTCAACTTTGAGCGTTCAAGCACCTCAATTGATAGACTGATAAATGATCTGATTGGCCAAAAAAAATATCACAGAGTACCATTTCGATGAAAAACCAATGAGTTGCAAATCACCTTTATTTCTTCATTGATCTGCCATTGAAAGAGTACACTCAAGGCGTTGCTTTTCTTTATTCATGATCTTTTTCGGTAATGTGCCTCATACTCTATTTTATTCTTTTCTTTATATAACAATTATGAATACTCAACAAAATTCTTTTTGAATATAAAGAAATTATTGTTTTACTTTTAATTCAAAAGTTTTTAAAAAGACGAATGGAGGTTCAATACAAATACACATAAGGCATAGTGAAAATTATAAAAATAATATCCATAAAAATCCGTCATTTAAATAAGCATAAATTAACTCAAAAGAGCTATTCTCAAGCTTTTACTCCTATTGATATCAACATTGATTGTGATCATCGCATCGTTATCAAATCACACTGAAGGAGATGCTTGAGAAAGCCCTTTTCGAGAATAATTTGGCTGAAGAAAATACCTATTAATATGCCTTATTGTAACCCGTGTATGAACCATTTAATTGCACTCTACTCTATTCCAATATCCCTCCGTACTGATACCGATTCAGAAATCTCTATAAAATTTATGTACCTAACAAAATCTCAGAAATGTCCATAGATTTACGAAAACAAGAGAAATAAAAAAAAGGTGCTATAATTCAATTGGAAAAGCTATCCAAGTCGAGTACAAAGTAATTTGATAACAATTAAGCAAAGATATAAAAATATTATATTACACGCAACTGATGATAAATTAGCATGCCTAAAAGTTTCTCAAATCAAAATTATTTGAATAGGTCTAATAAAATTTATTTGTGTACTCCTGGTTGAAGTTTTTAATAACATTGGAACAGTATTTGAAGTACCAGAAAATTTATGCATAAATTTATTTATTCGAAGAATCCAAATTTAATTTGTTAATGGATATTTTGATATGTGAAGATGCATACCGATTTACCTAGAATAATTGATAACATAAAGACTTTCTCCGTATATATGGGTAGTAACAATATGAATCTTGACTACCAGTGTGTAATTAATTAAATATTTTGTCTGATTCAATAAATTTAATGCAGGTTTAACTATTAATTTAAATTTTTTGCAATATTTTCAAGAAAAATTAAATTCGAAACATTTTATTTATTCTCTAAATGTAAAACGCAGAGCAGATGACCATTATTATCTGTGACACTTTATGGTTGGTTAATTTAGATTGAATTAAGCGAATTTTTCAAATGACCTTGGTTAGTTTATCAATTGAAATTTATAACATTTATTTGGAAAAATTCGATTTAACTTATTAAATAAATATAAACTAGGAAACGAAATCGTTGTAAAGAATTTTATAATAGTTTTACACTAATTGCAGGTGGTATTCAATTTGTTTTGTGGGCAACAAGCTTGAAAATATCGCTAAATTCATTTTTCCAATATTACGACTTTAAGACTTTGTAACCGGGTAATTATCGGGTTAGTAATATTCAATAGCATTTTTATAAATTTTCCTTAGAAAAATTTGATTCATGTGGATCGCCCTTACTCCAAAAAAATTTTTGTAGGAATCTGAAACCATCTAAGGTGTGGTATTATTTGTTGTCCAGTAAGATATTATATTAATTACCACCAATCAAACTCTATTTAATTAAAACTGCACAATTACGAAAAAATTGTGTAATAAAGTAATAAGAAAAATAGGAAATTAAAAAAAAAAATAAAATAAACATGACATGTTAAGTTATTTAGGGATTTCCTGCTCGTATTTGTAAAAAAAAATGATTATTAGGACAGCCTGGCATCGAAATAAAATGAACAAAGGACTTACTTCAAATATTGAAAAACATTTACATACAAAGTTATGAAGTTTCCAGCGAAATTATATCAATAAAGATTCATATCAACTCTGATACTAACCGTGAACAAACAAATTCAATGGCCAACCTTTCACATTTAGATGAGCTTTGAAGATGCTGTAAGTCTGGTTTTAAAGGAATTATAATAGCACTTTTCGACATTGTTTTATTTGTAATAAAGTTACTATTTACAAAGAAAGCATAAAAAAGTACTTGTCAAGTATGAATTTATCTTATCTTCAGAAACATTACTGAATAATTCCTGTGAAAATAAAAACTTAAAAGAAGATATAGAAAATGTCGATATATAAATTGTCTTCTTTCTAATAACAGACACATTTCCTTGATGGATATAGTGCGATATTAATGAACTCTTGACAGTTTACATACGATCAATATTTAGAATGAAAAGCTATTAATGTGTTGTAATTTTATTTTAGAGTATTTCTAATGAGCAAGCTTTTTTTATAAATTGAAAATTTTTTTCTGATTTTGTATGTTTAAACACAAATGTGTTCAATGAAAATAAAACCATTAACCAATCATAAATATTGCATATGCTGTAGTTATATTTTGCAAGCAAAATTTTGTAAAAGGGATAGGCTTTAAAATTTGCGTGATTTGGTGGATACTTCATTACATTCCCTCAAAATAAAGTAGTTGAAACGCTGGTATTTACAATAACGCTTATTTTTTCAGCATCAAATCTATCTGTAAAGTAAATCTATCATTTTTGCTTAATCTTACATGTGAAGTTTATTATTTTCATTTTTTCTAAACAAAGATTCATTTTTTTTGTTTGGTTCATGAGCTATAGATTTCCGACGCGACGTTATTATAGTTTTTGCTTCTTTCATTAGAAAAAGAATTTTTGAAATTTTGTTTCCAAAAATATTATTTAACTAATCTGCATAAATCGAGAATAAAAAATCATTGCTTCAAATAATGCTTCGGCCTGCAACATTTGATGGGTTTTTTTTTAAAAAATTTTACGCCTCTTCTGTTATATTGGATAAGATGGTTTGTGAGTATAAAGATGAGCTGTTTTATTTTTATATATATATTAGAGGTTGGAATCGGTCAAAAATTTCTCTAACCGGTTAAAATATTTGTTAACCGGTTAATTAACCAGTTAAAGATAACTCAGGCCAGTACTATAAATTTGGCTGGAGCTAGAAAACATATTTGCAATCATTAAAATCTTAATTCTGGCCGGAAATTGAATTTGGTCAGAGTTAAATTCATCTATTTTAACCGGTTAAAAAGATCATTAACCGGTTAACATGTTAACCGCTTTTAAAAATTAACCTGTTCCAATCTCTAATATATATATTTTATTTGATGCGGAGCGATCGAATGATTGCCTTTCAAAATTTTTAGTACCAATTCTTTATATTTTATATTTTTTTTTTTTAACATTGATTTTATTTTTTCATTAATTATTTATTCTTTTTATAGGGCAATTTCTTTTAGAAACATATTATTATAAAGAAAATTTCTCTCATAGCACTGAAAATATTTAGAAAATAGCAAATAAGAAATATTTATAAATTTTATAAAAACACAGTCAACTCTCTCTATAGTCATAAGCCATATTAGTTGATTATAAAGAGAAGTGACTAAAAAAAATATATATTTTGAGATCACAATTTTAATACTAAATGCATAAATGTGTTATTAAAAAAAAAATAATTTATTTATTTTATTATTGTAATTTATGAAATTACATTATGGATTTTGTTATAAAAGATGCATTATAACATACTTTTATATCTAAAGCACGACATCCATAAACCTACAGATTTTACATCCGTCATCAAAAGGATTTGTTCATAAAAAAGAATTAGCTATTTAAAAGTGCCGAAATTTATTCGTTTTCGTCATATTTTTATTGGTTAAAATTATTTCACGTAATAATTTGATTATCGACGCTTTATAAATCCAAAAACTGATGTAATATAGTGATTGTGACTATAGAAGATAATTTTGTAATGACTATATGACTGTAACGAACGTGACGCTGACTGTATACTATATGTGACCAATTAATCGACCTGTTAAATAGAATTTGGAACATGTTAGTTCTATAATGTGTTACCTATATTTCGTAAGAAACTAGAACGATTTTACAATAGATGATATAATTTTAAATATAAAATCAAAAGATAATTTATTATACTTTTATACTCTCGCTGGTCAAATTAAAGTATATAAATAAACTATCACTACCTCAACTGGCGCTCTTTAATAGACCTTATATAAAATTCTATCTAAATATACAGGTATGATTCGTCTTTAAATAAAGGGATTAATTAATTAAAAGCGAAAAAGGCTCGTCTTGATTGACAGAATTGATCGAAATTGCGTTTGAAAGCAGTAAAGTCTTAAATTGATGACGATGCAAATATGTAATAAAGAAATTTTTATTTTCAATATTTAAAGCTTTTAAACCTTTATCAAGGGAACTTCCATGTCATCCGGAAACTTCATTTCTCTCAACTTTCTTTGTGCTTCGTCTTTTTTCCGTGATATATTCTTCTTCGTTTGTGCTATTAGTCGATCATCAAAATGATAATACATATGGTATACTAACTGAAATTAAAGTAAATGTAAGATCTATACTAATTGACCATATTTAGGATTATAATGAAGTGGCTTTTCTTTCTTAAGTTTCAAAATGTCTCGTGAATTAATTAAATATCCTTTTTTTATTTTCTAAAAAAAATGTTTTAATTGAAATTATGATAAATTGCTAACTTTTTATTCTGAAGTTAAAGCTATTTTACTCCCGCAGTACGCTTATTTCATTCCTCAATTCTTTGTTAAAAATAACCTTTATTTTTTTTGGTAGGACTTATTTGGTGTGTATAATGCAATTTTCAGCCCTGGGCGTTGTTTAAAAATTTATAATATAATTATAAATTTATACTTCATTTAAAAATTTCTTATTTAGATTTGATGAATTATTAAAACTTTTAAGAATTATAATAGCAAGGGAAAATACAAGATATTTATATAAAATAAATTAATATAAAATCAACTATAACAAATATAATAAAGAGAACAAATAATATAACTATGATAAATATAATATATATAATAAATAAGATATAATTAATAAATATAATAAATATAATTCATGTATCTAATATGCCCACTTGATCAACGTTGACAACTTTAGCAACTTTGTCAACAACGTCAACTTCGTCAACTATGTCGATCATTTAGATCACATGACTTTATTTTAGCACAGTCACGGATCACGGCTTCATCGTAACTTTCTTTGTTTGTATTCATAGAATTTAATATATTTTCTTAAAATATATTCTTCGAACCAATTAATCGACTCATTTGAATTATCGTTAGTTTGCATTTTATATCGAATTAAACTGATAAATTTGGGGAAAAGAAACTTGGTAGATCATTCTACCAGATTAATAGTTAGTTATTTCGAAAATCGGTAAATGACAACATCAGTTCTGAAAATTTACAATTGAAATGTTGCGGCGAAACGAAAATTTATTGCGGATGGTGGTAGCAAATTTTTAAATGATTTAATAAATTTACAGCGACGATTTTTTCTTTAAAAGAATTTATTTTTTTAAATTTATTTGCTGGTGAAGAGCTTTTTAAAAATAAAATTTATTTTACTACGGGGCGACGAATTTTTTTTTTAAAAAAAATTTGATTTTTAAAATGTATTTTACTACAGAGGCAAACAATTTTTTTTTCTTAAAAAATGAAAATTTATTTTACTACGGGGACGATTTATTTTAAAGTATTTTAATTTTTTAAAATCTTATCATTATCTTATTAAACAAAAAAAAAAATAAAAATCTAATAAAACCAATATGAACTTTAATAAAGAATTAAATTCAAATTTTCTATTCTTATTACTAAAATCAAATCTTTCACATCTGTTTCTCAATCCAACCGTCATTAACATAAATAAAATATATACAGTATACTATTTCTAACAATCTATTAATATCTATAAGCACTTTAAAGTTATTCCATAATATATGTGCATTATCAGAATTAATTATTGCATAAAATTCAAGTAATAATTATTTTTAACAAACAAATTAAACAGAACTCGTGATAACAAAACAATGAATTTTATTGGTCGATCACGTGTGCGGACAGACGGACATTGCATTAAAATGAGTCTAACCGAAGATTATTTTAGAATTTGCAGATGAACAATTCATTATATGAATGCTTTGCGAGAAAACTACAAAAAAATATAAATTTTTATTTTCTATCTAAATATGATGTTTTTTATCAATGATCCAATTTTTATATCTTGCTTTAAAAAAAGAAATAAGGAATTATTACTTGATATTAAAATTCGAATCGCATTGCTTCATTTATTATATTGATTATTAGAAAGAAGTGATAAAACGCGATTAGAAACCCAAGGAATGGCAAATCTGGACTTGCTTAATGAGAATTTTATTTACAATATATAGTCAATATTTTCGTTCTCGCAACATAAAAATCTGAAATAGTCGTCAGAATTTAATAAAGTATATATGATGCATTTTATTTTATTATAATTTCAATAATTTCACTAAAGTTTTTTTTTGGAAGTTAAAATCGTTAATCGCAAATCTCGAATTTAATAATATAGTACGTCGAATAAAGAATCAAATGTCTTAATTATAGGTTTTTTTTTATTACAAAATAGAAAATCTGTGATACTTTGATAAAAAAAACAAAATCCCTTCAAAAAAAATTCCTAAAATATCATTCGTTTACCAGTCGGTAAATTATAAAAAATTAATTCAACCAGACCGGTAATTGCTTTAGAATTTTGAAAAAATAAACAAAATACCATTTCATAAAATTCAAACGCTTAATTTCTTGACTTGTCAAATCTTCCGTCGATATAATATACCATTCCAAATCTTAAAAGTAATTCATGTCAAATGGTGAAAATTTTCAACAAATTTGTTGGAAAAGTTACCAAAAAACTTAATTGACATTTGATAAAACTCGGTGTAGATTTTAACATGAAATCTCTCAAAATCAGAAATTCTAAAGACCAACTCCTCGTACTTCATCACTTCAACAAAGGCTGAACTTTTATTATGAGAAAAAGTTAATTCAACTTGATATGCAAAATTCTTGACCTTCCCTTCTTTTCTTCTACAAATTCTCGAAAGTATCTAAAGTTTCTAAATTGATACTAGTAATCTGCTTAATCTAATCAAATGATTGCAATGATCATCTAAAAATACTTTCAATTTATTCGGACAAAATGCAAATGATAATTTTAAATACTCCAAATTTTTTGGTAAAATTCCCAGTCCATTTAGGATACTTGATAATAATCGGTAAATGCACACGGGAGTTTTCTTGAATAATAAAAAAAAGTTATCTAAGGTGATGTTTATTCATCTGAATAATCTTCAAACATTCTAAATATGCACCAACATCTTGAAGTGATAAAGCAATTCCTGGGATATCACATACCACCACCTTTAAAGATTTTGTCGGGTGCCGTCCAAAATCTCGAAATCCAAAATATCGAAAGGTTAAAATCTCGAAATCCAAAATCCCGAATGGTACAAAATCTCGAAATCCAAAATATCGAATGGTAAAAAATCCGAATTTTCCTTTAAAAATTTTCCATGTATAACTAAGCTTGCTTTCTGATTAAGGCATATACTACGGCATGACATTACCAAAATTATTAACGTTCATATCGCATAATTTATTAAAAAATTTTTTAATTACAAAGTCGTTAAAATCGCAATCATCTTATTAATGGTTTAATATTTACTTATATAATAAATGAAAAAAATTTTCAATCGGAGGGAGTTTTGCTTATACAAATAAATGAAAAAAATTTTCAGCAGGATTATTTTCAGATAACCTGAGCCTCACCCGCGAAATATATTGCAAATTCAAATTAATTTCCCGCGACATACTAATTCAAAGTAATTCTCATGACCATTCGGGATTTTGAATTTCGAGATTTTGGAATTCGAGGTATAAAACCACGAACAATATTTAAAATGTACATCTTTATATGTGCGAATAGAAAGTGATAAAGGTTGAGATTGTAATTGAATGAAATTACTTAGAATTTGTGAAGGAAACAACAGCCGTTCAATTGAAGACAAATCAAAAACAAAATCAAAAGATGAATGAAACTCAAACTTTTCACTACCTGATATGAACTTTGGATTATCCTTTATTATCCAGGTTCATTGTTTTTCAAACATCTTATTTAGATAGAAAATAAAAATTTATCGCAACGTCCAAATAATGAATTGTGCATCTGCAAGTATTTTAGTAATATAAAAACAATTTTTAAATAATCCTTTAATTGATACCATGAAAATATAGATGAAAATATAATAGAATTTGGCAACAAACTGTTAGAATTATTACTTGAATTTTATGAAAAAAACACACCTTCCTTTGTTTCCATTTGCAATAATTAATTCTGATAATGCACATATAGAATGGAATAACTTTAAAATGCTTATACGCAAAATCATTAATAGATAGATTATTGCAATAGTATATTCTATTTCTTTTGCTAGTGTAAAATGTAAGCTTGTTTTTTAAACAAAATTTAATTAAGTCTAGTTTACATAATACTTTTAATAAAGATACAGCACATTACATATGTTAATTATGGTTGGATTTGAAGAAATAGATGTGGAAGAATTTGATTTTAATAATGTCTTTAAAGAGCAAAAAGTTAAATTTTAACTCATATTGATTTTATTAGATTTTTCTTTATTAATTATTCTTTAAAAAAATTGTTCCCGTAATAAAATATTTTTATTTTTTTAAAAAAAAAAAAATTCGTCACCTCCATAGCTAAGTTTTGTTTTTTTTAAAAAAAAAAAAATTGTACGCCTCTGTTGTATAAAAAAAAATTTTTTTTTATTTTTAAAAATCTCGTAACAAATCAAATAAATTTAAAAAAAAATCTCATTATTTTATTTGCTATCGGAGTTAAAAATCAACTCAATTTTGTGTTTCCACCGCAGCGTTTCAATTAATCTATTCTATATAGTCAGAATTTTCAGCCCTGGGCGTTGTGTCACTTGCCGATCATTGAAATAACTATTAATTTGGTAACAAACATGATCAACCAAGTTGCTTTTCCCCTAATTTTATTATAAAATAAGCAAAATGCAAACTGACAATAATTCAAATGAGTCGATTAATTGGTTCGAAGAGTATATTTTAAGAAAGGATATCAAATTCTATAAATACAAACATTTTAGCAATTTTCAAGAGATAGGTATAGGCAGTTTTGGAAAAGTCTATCGTGTAAATTGGAAAATTCAAAACAACCATTAGCGTTGAAATCATTTCATAACTTTAACAATGCGACTGTTAAAGAACTTATTCGTGAGGTATTAATGTATTACAGAACATTCTATTTGTCTATTTGGTATTAAACCATTAATATACCAAGTTAAAAATTTATATTCATAATAATTTAGCTTGAGCATCAACGGAAAGTTGATTGTCATAGCAATATCATCCGCTTTTTTGGGATTACATCATTATACCAAGGTATAAAATCTTAAATCATTAAGGTTAATTATAATTTTACATTGACCTTTATATCATATTTTAACTCAAGTATATTTATTATTTCGTAAAAAAAAAAAAAAAAAATTAGAAAATCATAATGGATTGAAAAATTATTGGTTAGTAATGGAATATGCAGATGACGGTACGCTTAAAAACTATTTGAAGAATAATTTTAACAAGCTTTCTTGGGGAGATAAATACAACTTGGCATTCCAGCTGGCTTGTGCTGTATCGTGTTTACATGACGAAGGAATTGTACATTGTGATTTGGTAACCTTATGCATTTAAATTTTAAATTGACGTCATTTTTTTGATACTTAGTAAGCATCCAACTAGTTTATAAGGCCCAAGCTTATTTCTTTATGAATGTTATCTGAGTATGCACTAATCATTATTATTGGTTTTGTTTAGATGAATATTTTATGTTTCTGTATTTAGTCAAAGCACAACATTCGTATTCGTTATTTTCATATTAAATTGATGTACTGATCTTCGCATAAATGCAAATATATGGGAGGCGGTCAATAGAAAAGTGGAAATCTACAAATTTTGAGTAATTTATTTATCAAGCAAGTTTTGATCGGAATGAAAGTTAAATCAATTTTAATTGAAACTAAACATTTTTATCAATTAATTGACCAGTTCAATTATAAAAATAATAATTGATTCGATTAAAAACACTATTCGAAACCCATCGAAACCCACCGAAGTCCATCGAAATTGAAAGAATTTACTTTTGCCAAAAGGGGATAAGGTTTGCCCACAACTTTAGGTGCGAATGTAATCGATGTATTATATAATAATCCAGCAACTTTAGTACATGTAGTTTTAAATGATTGAAATGGAAATTGAGGAAAGAAACGAGTTAGGGTATGTACTAATTATATCATGTTTAGGTTTATTTTTCATATTATATTTTTATGGTTTCTTATTATTACATTTGTATTATTTGGGAATTAATTATAATATAAATATAAGTCTCTTGACCATCATGTGTATCAAAATTAACGATGATGATATTCCTAAATAATTGAGATAGCTGTTGTAAAATAATGACAAAGGGGAATATCATTCAAATAAATTTTAAGATATTGAAGTATTCAAAGTTACATTATATTTGGATATATTAATAATTCTAGATCTGTAGTAGGGATAAAATGTAAAAGTTCTTTGCTAATTTTATTCACATTTTCTTTGAGGTTCCAGCATCTTTTTTGATGAAATGAATCATGAAGATGAAGATTCAGCTATGCTTGTTGATTATGAAGAACCTGTTGTAAAAGTTCCCATGTCAAAGATGCTCTTCAAATAAATAAGCGATATGTAGATAAAGAATCACGTGAAGTCATTAGGGTTGTAGTAGCTCATGCTGGGAATGAAGGTCTTAATAAAAGACTATATTCACTTTTGGAAATAATGCATTTTATTTTTCAAGTTCTTACAGGATAGATAATGATTAATTGCATGTAATAAATTATTAATTATTATGTTGATTTTATAAAATCATTCATAAATAGATGTTGTTTATTCAACTTGAGTAATAGTTGTCTCATTGGTTTCTCCTGAATAAATAATCACAACTACCAGTATTATTAGCTTAAGTTGGTGTTTTAATGATTTCTGTTGGTATATTATTTAATAGTTATTAGAACCTGCTAATTATTAACTGGTTAAAATTATTTTATGGTTAACCGGTTAATTATTTTGGTTAACCGGTGTTATGATTGGAATTTTGTCGAAATAAAGCTAAAAAACCATATATATCTTAATATCTCAATTATCTCGAAGGCCTTTCCTAAGAGAGATAAACGATTAATAAACAAAACGATTATAATACGATTCATTTGTGTAGTTATCACGATCAGAAGTTTGAAAGTGTAAAATATTATCTTTATTAATCTGTAGAGATATATGTAAGTCTAGTCCCAAGACATCAAATACTTCTTTGGAAGAACTCTGTCGACTTAAGGATTTACAGGTCTATTTATATACAGTAAATTGCTAGCTAGTATTATATTACGCTTTTTGTTAATGATAATAATACAAATAAAGTATGATAGATAAATTAAGTAAATACAGACCCCTGCCAAAAGTCTCCGAACACCTTTTATCTCAATATAAAACTCAAATTTTAAAGTTTATTGAAAAAAAGTTTATTAATATATTTATTAATGTATGATATGCTATACATTTTGTACTAAGTAATTAGTACTTGATCGGGCCTCCATTTGCTTCAATTACAGCCTGAATTCGCTGCGGCATACTATCAACCAAATTTTCTATAGTATGTATAGGAATTTCTCGCCATGCCTTCTTAACGTATCGGTCGAGTTCAGCAAGATTTGAAGGCTTTCACGAATGCTTTTCTTGACATCGGCCTACAGATTCTCAATTGGATTAAGGTCTGGACTTTGAGCCGGCCATGGAAGTACGCGCAGATCATTTTCCGCATGAAATTTCTTTGCAAGTTTCGTTTTATGGGGGTGAGCATTATCCTCCTGGAATATGCCATTACCATTTGGAAATGCACGTCTCATAGTTGGCATAACGTGCTTGTGAAGAATGATAACATGTGAAGCACATTTGCTGTTCCAAATAATAGAACAATGGGTCCCAAGCCTTGTCTTGAAAAGCATCCCCAAAACATTCGGCCAGGGCTGTGTTTCACTGTAGCAGAAACACAAGAAATGTTCTACTTTTCCTGAGGTTCCCGCCACACTCGACTACATCGGCTTTGTTGGAATTGAGTAAAGGTCGATTCGTCACTCCACATGACTTTCGACCAATCATCCTTTGTCCAGCTTTGGTGATCCAAACACCATGCAA